ATTGAAATTTTAATTGTTGTGTATCTGTTTTGGTATTATTCGTAACGTTGTAACATGGTTTTAAGGAGTGTGAAGGGTGATAGTAGCTAGCAGTTTTTCGTCAAATGTGAATGTATATTAGAATATTTGTGTCATGTGTGAGGGACTGTTTTTTTTTGCATTTCAGAATAATTTTGATCAAGTATGATAGCTTATTGATTCCGTTGTAACATTTTCTGTATATAATTTGAATGTGTGCTTTATAAAATAATAGTTTGATTTAGTGCTGGTTATCATATCCTTGCCCCCCAGTGGCACAGCGGTATGTCTGCGGACTTACAACGCTAGAAACCGGGTTTCGATACCCATGGTGGGCAGAGCACAGATAGCCCATTGTGTAGCTTTGTGCTTAACTTTAAACAAAAACAAACATTATATCCTTTGCAGCTTTTCAACGTTTGGAGATTTTTCTTTCAAGAATTTATTTTTAATATTGGCTTGAAAAGTATACTACATAAAAGTATTAATCCTTTCGTTGATTACTCATTAAATGTATAACAGGAAAATAGTACTTCATCTTGGTAATAACAATAAAAAAGCAATCTTTAAGCACGAAGTCTTTACTTTTCAATTGGAGAAGTTGTGCGCTTGTAAAACTGAAGATTACTGGAGAGTGACTTCTAAGTCGTGTAATCAGCACAGTCTTCGCGTTTAAATATTTTGTAGAAACAATTAGAATAAAAGCCTTAACTATTTATGGAATACAAGTTTTATTATCACAATATTAGATACAGTTTTATGGTGTTAATACCAATTTATAGTTAGGGTTGCGCCCACTCACGTACTAGAACTATAGTTGTGTGAAAATTTAACGCGGAGAGAAGAAACAAGAATGACGTCAGAACTCAAGTACTGCTAATATTAGACTATCCTTTCAGGAACGCATTCTTCAAGCTTTCGTTCCCAAAAGTTTGAGAATACACACTCAATCCAAAGAGGGTAGTTTTCTGCCGTTAATCGAGAAAAAAAAAAAGTTGTGTGACGTCATCACCACGTTCTGTTATCGCGTACACAAAGCCCAAGTCAGTAAATTGTGCATCTATAACAGGAGTTCCATTGAAAAGATTAGTACAGTAGGATATTGTTCAAACAGAAGAATCTCTCGACAGAAATGTTAATTTATGCTGCTAATATGGAGTTTAATAGATTATACACTTTGGATATTTTTCTGGGTTAAAGTATGTTTGGCATAGCCATCCTTACAAGGTAGAGGAAGGATTTTTCACTGAAAAAAGAATATACCTTTCGTTTTACTGCTTAAATTAGGCCATTTACACTGACCACAATAAAACTCCCATAATTTAAATTAAACCAAGAAAGTTGAGAAAAGAACTTGCTTCAAATTAATAAGCTGATTAGCTCTAAATGTCTTGGATGTACCTTTTCAAATTTATTTAGGTGACTGTCCTTCCCATAGTGTAGGTGAATGACTTTAAACGAAGAAAGACTTCTTTTCTTTTCCAGTTATAGAGAGACACCAAGGATTGGCCAAGCGTGTTGAAGGACCTGTAGTTGTAAAACGACGTAAATATTTGGAAACAAAACTTAACCATGTTTCTTAATAGTTTCTGCAAAGATATTGGGATAATATCTTTTGTTCCGACTGGCCCTTGATTAATATGCTAAAAAGAATGCGAGAAAGTGTATACATCTTACGTTGTTGATAATATAATTTAACATTTGTAGCCGCGGCATAGCGGCTCATAGAATAACTTTGTGTTTTTTGTTTGTTTTTTCAAGTACAAATTTTGAGCTCATAGCTCCATCATCTCTTGACCGATTGGAGATCTAATTACTGTTTTGGACCCAGGAGATCAGATCTTTTCGGTTGATATATTTGATCATGCCCAAGACCTCATAGACGAATTTACTCTAATCCTGCCGAAAATAATTTCAATTTGAGGGTAGGCTGGTAGAGATCCTGATGAGTAATAAAATCGAATCGTGGATACACACGCGCCCCACGTTTGGTATTGCTAGCGCACAAAAATATAGCTAATGAAAGAGAAAAAAGTTTCATAGATTACTTTACTCTAATCCTGCCTAAAAGAATTTCTAATGCCGCGGCTATTGAGGATTCCCTCTTATTTTAAGTCTAAAAGTTTGTAAAAATACATTGACCTTTTGACGTTACAAAACGTTATTGTATTCTCCCTGACTATTAGTTTGATAAGCTTCTGGTAATGTTTATTTGAAAATATTTTGCATAGATTCTGGTTTGTGGAGTAGCTTGGATAAATGTTAACTAACTTACAGTACAATCTTTCTAATTAAAAAAACTTCAGATAAGATTTTTAACAAACTTGCTTTTCTGATGATTTTTTAAAAATAAAATCTTTTGTAACGTAATATACAAATATGAATAATTTTTTCTTCTGTTTCTACAACCTACTAAGCCTTCTGTTTAATGGTCGTATATGTTTATAATTTTTTTATCATAGCACTATAAGGCGGTTTAGGGGTTGAGTCCATATCTACTTGTAACATTAAAGCATTTTTTTTTAATTCGGCGAAGTAGTTACCTTTAAAATGTGTCTTGTGTTTACTTTTGTGTATACTTGTATATCATGAGCACAGCTTTGATTTCAAGGTGTGTGTGGGGCTGTCCCCCCCCCCCTCCACAGAGATAAAGATGGAGGGTGGCTGGTACATACACTACATAAAACACACCACAATTTAGTCTATATGGGAAAAAATATACTATTACTGTTGAAGTATGATGGAAGGGGGACAATCTCCCATAACTGAAAAAAGTGATGGCGACGTATCTCCTAATGTAAGTTACACCTGTGATGTATACGATTGTACATTAACTAAGAATAGCGATAAAATAGTTGGAACGGATAACAATAGGGAATAGTGTGATGTTACTAATACCTGAAAGCAAGTCTCGGCCTCAATCTTAGAATTACCGGTATGGTCTTTCTCACCTCCTCCCATCAGATTTTCAAACACATTATTTTAAACTATTAATGCACAAAATTCTTTGTGGGTCCTTGACTTTTTGTTGGCTACAGGACACCTAATAATATATGAATAATAATAAATTTGTTAACGAAAATATACCATCACTATTGTAATTAATCTTTAATTACTGCTGGGCCCCCAATGTATTTTAACGTAGGAACTTGTAATTTCACCGATTATTGTTATTATTTTCGTTCCGTATAGTGAGTGGTGAACAGAAAAAAACGAAATTATTTAAGTTGATGCCATATATGGAGTTTACTGTAGTGAACGGTGTGTAAATAAGTCTGTAATTTGAAGGTTAAGAAGCAGCGTAGAGTATTGGAAGTTAACGGTGGAAAGTTTAGTGGGAAGAAAATACTGATAACTTAAATGTTTATCAAGAGATGGCGCCAGCCATTGAGATGTGAACGTTTAATTTGCTAGTGGTTGCATTTAACTATCGCTGGGAGTTTTCAACCATGTGTAACTGGTACCATTTTATAATTCTGATCACCCACTAAGGACATGACTAATTTAGTAACAACTAACTGCTATCGGCAGAAATGAACGTTACTTGAGTTTAAATATTCAAATTATCTTGAATTCTTCATAACCTCTGAATAGTGGGTGACCCAACGCGCTCAACTGTTACTATGGTGTATATTAGAGACAGTATGATAAGAAATAATGAAATTACCAACTGTTACTAAGGTGTATATTAGAGACAGTATGATAAGAAATAATTAATTTATCCAACTGTTACTAAGGTGTATATTAGAGACAGTATGATAAGAAATAATTAATTTATCCAACTGTTACTATGATGTATATTAGAGACAGTATGATAAGAAATAATTTCGGTCACTTTTATGAAAATTTCTAGCATGAGTAATTTTAAATCACACTATTGTTCGCGTTCTTTATGAAACTTCTTACTTCACTTTTTTGAAAAATGAAATGTTCTTTCCTTTTACTCCCAATCAACAATCAAATATCTTTTCTTGAATTATGAATAAAACGAATGGATTGAAATATTTAATTAAATTGACTCAAAATGAACCTTCATTTCGGTGCAATATTGAAATTAGCTTGAATTCTTCATAACCTCTGAATAGTGGGTGACCGAACGGGTCACGGTGGTCTAGTCTGTTTATATATGCGTCTGTTTTTGTAAATGCATATTTTAAAATGTTTTTGCGATGTCGGAACCATTCTAATTCACAGTTGTTTTAAAAAAAAAATGCTATTTCCCAGTTAAATGGAATTAGTGTGCTAAAAATATTTCTGTTTGGTCATAGTCTTAAGTCTTTTAGTTATCTTACACTTAAAGCTATTTTTACTATACAGTCGTATTTCTAAATTTATTATCATGAAGTAAATGTTAAGATTTTTATTTTTTCCACATCAGCTTGACAAGTGTTATACTGAAATAGGTATGTAGTGGTAGAAATAAACCTAAAGAAATTACATAAAAATATTTTTGTTGGAATTTTTTTCATCATTTAGGTTATTATTTTTATTTTTAAGGTAATACCATGTATTAACTATTAACAAAGTTTTTGTTATTGTATTCGAAGCTGCAATGTGACTTTTATAATTCCTTTTATCTTTATCTTTTGTAAAAGATTGACATATTTTTAAAAATTTGGCCCAAATGCTGTTAATATTCCAGAAAACATCATGAAAATTAAATACAATAGTATTTGTGGTCAATATGTAAAACAGACGGTTCTTGTGCAAAAAATTTTAAGTGTTTGGGGTATAAATTTACTTAAGAAATTTTCAGGTTTTGTTACTTAAGAGTAATAAATGCAAAATTACTGATGTAAGAATACATTTCTGTTGTTTTAAGTCAGATTTTATACATTTAATTTCACGAGTTTCATGTAATAATAATAATGACAGTGGGCTTCATTTTTAGGATCGGAACTTGTACTCATTTATAGGCTTATTTGTTAGAGAAGTCTTACAAGATGCTAACTGTACTGTTATCTTTGGTTTTTATATTACAGAGAGAAAGTAGAGTACCTTTAAGGAAACGGAGTGATCCAAATATTCCAAGATCAAAAAGGTTTGAAATTCTTTTATTGTTCATTTGTACAAGTGGAGAAACAAAAATATTAAACATGTGCGCAGTGTTTTCTTTGCTATTTTAAATTTGTATTTTTTAAATTGATTTCTACTTTAGTGATGCAGAAGTAGATGAGAAGAATGTTTCTGACCTCAACAATTCGGGAAGCTCTTCTAACTCAAGCTTATCTACAAGGTAAATTTTGTGATAATCACAAGCTCTTTATGTAAATCTGTTTGTTTGTTTTTTTAGACTTTTGTTGTATAATTTTTTCTCAACAAAGCGTCAGAAATGACAGTAAATGCCAAAAAACTGTTCTGACATTGAACAGTGGGTGGCAGTACAAACTTGATTCTTGAGAGGTGACACAAGTTTATGGTGCTTGTCTGAAGTGTAGTTTAATTATAGTTCTTGTTATTATGCATTTAATTTGACCATCATTTTTTAGATTTCAGTAAAGAATATTATATAACTTTTGTAGTAATATGTTTGTATAACTTGTGCAATAAATCATATTACTAATTACACACATACATAAAGAAATGAAATAAAACAGTACTTTTTTTTGTTCATATTCACTAACTACTGGATACCCTATTCTAAGTTTGACTGTAATTTGAGTTATATCAACTCGGTGTTTTACAGCCAGAGATTAACTTGCAGCAGTGTAGGACTTTTACTTGTTATAGAACTTCAATCCTTGAGCATTCTGAATTTTTTGTTTTCTAATAGCTTATGTTTCGACGTGTATCTATTAATTGAGATAAAAATTGCAACTTGCAAAACAACTAAAGAAATAGTTAAAACACAAATCCATGTTTTAAAAAGTGTGTGATTTTTGTATTTAAAAAATTAAATTTAAGAGTCACTCCTACTAAGTGTAATATAATGGAAACAAAATTTATTATATGAATAGAGCTTTTTTTAAAGAATGTTAATAAATCATATTTATTTACACAGTAAAAAGGAAATCGGAAAAGTTTGCAACTGAAATCTATAATAATAGTCGTAAGACATTTGTAATGGTGTCTGAGTATCAGAGATAGTATCATATGTTAACTGTGCTATTTTAACTCGGAGAACACTAAAGCTGGAGGTATTGTTCTTACTAGAAGTCTTGATAGTCCAAGCAACTCTATAGAAATGGTAACTGAAATCTATAATAATAGTCGTAAGACATTTGTAATGGTGTCTGAGTATCAGAGATAGTATCATATGTTAACTGTGCTATTTTAACTCGGAGAACACTAAAGCTGGAGGTATTGTTCTTACTAGAAGTCTTGATAGTCCAAGCAACTCTCTAGAAATGGTAACTGAAATCTATAATAATAGTCGTAAGACATTTGTAATGGTGTCTGAGTATCAGAGATAGTATCATATGTTAACTGTGCTATTTTAATGTTACTCGGAGAACACTAAAGCTGGAGGTATTGTTCTTACTAGAAGTCTTGATAGTCCAAGCAACTCTCTAGAAATGGTACACAAAACTCCAGGAGGAACGCCTGCTGACTCAATCCCAGGACTCGTTCCTTCCACTGGACCGTTACCCTCTTCAGGGTCTTCTTCCTCTTCTCATGTTCATCAGTATGATGATTCAGACCTGGAAGCAGAAAATGATCCTCCAAGATGGCAAGAAAATGTGAATATTAATGTGCTACGTCTAATGAAGCCCAAAGAAAAGAAACGTCAAGATGTGATAAATGGTAAAATGGTTAAGTGTAATCATTTGTGTTGTGTGATAGTATCAGTATGATAAATAAATGCTACAAACTGCTTACTATTATTTAAATTTTACATGATGAGTAAAAGTAAATGTAACAACAACAACAACAAACATTGACACTTGAATTGGTAATGGAAATTTAATACTTGAACATTTTGGAATGAATGTATTTCATCTTCAGCAAGCTATGTTGAACAAGATAAAAATATAGCATACAAAAAATTTTAAGTTTAGAAAGTTCCAACATTTTATAAAGAGGAATACAAAAAAAAACTTTAAGAATGAAATAAATTAGAAATTTTAGGATGGGTGTAAAGCACAATATAAATATTACAATAATAGTTTTTTAGCAGAATTATACAAGTTATTTAGAACAAACTTAACTGAAGTTATGTTATTGTTTAGAGTTTGGAGCTAATTTATGATAGATGAGTTTCATTAATTAAAAGTTTTATTATTGGATGATGAAGGTGAAATGATTTTGAAATTTTTAATCAAAATGTTGTGGTTGTTGCTTTCACTGTGTGTGCAATTTGGGGAGTCTGCAATATTTTAAAGTTCTGCATGATACTTTTTTGTGTTCTTTGGTTTGTGGTTGTAATTGCCACATTGTTTTGCCAGTGTGAGTAGCATCACATGTATATTTATACACAATATAGGAACACGTAGGAGTAGGTAGAATAAATAATAGGTCTTTAGATTTGAATATATTTTGACTCCTGAAGGGTGATTTGAATATCATTTGCAGTTAGTTTAACCTGCAGATAAAAAGTATTTATTATTTTAATTTATGACTTTAGTAAAACAAACTGTTTGGCTTATAAAAGAGGAATGACCAATCTTAATGGGTATTGGTCTACATTATATGGTTTCTTCGGGGGTTCATTTTTGTTAGATTGGAATTTGTGTGTTAGAGTTTAGCAGCTGTTTATTAGATTATTCTGTAAGATAGTTATTTTGGTGGTAACAGATGCTATTTGATCATTTAGAAGAGTAAGTATAAGGTTTTGTTTAAAGGAGTCTGGAATGAAAATATTGAAATGAGTATGAAAGCCTGTATTTGTTTTTTATGACAAATGGAAGTTTAAACTGGTTATCTAATTTGGTCAATTTGGATATCAAGTAAAGGCAATTTTTCATTTTCTTCTGTTTCACAATTAAAATTAATGTTAGGGCTCTTGGAACATAAAAATTTATGATTTATTTAATGTGATCAGAGTTTCTAAAGACTAAAAATGTCGTCAACATATCTTCTAGACAAGAACACTCATAGCAACAGAGAAATGTGTTTGAGTGTTAGTCCTAAAATTGATTCCATTTCCACAACATCTAGTTGGTTTCATAGCTGACCATTGAAGACAAAGTGAATATCCTTGAGGGCAGATTTGTGTAATTCTTCAAATGTTTGACAGATAAATCTGGTATATTTTTCATTTTTTGCTGGGGAAATGTTTCAGGTTACCTGAACTTCTGTAGTAGGTTATTAGTGAATAACGACTCATTGTTAAATCTAGAAAGTATATATTGATCAGCATTAGTAATTTTAGAAATTCCTCTTTCAAAGGAGAAAGAATCTTAAACTGTAAATTTGTTGAAAATAAGTACATTTAGAATAGGAACAAAGAATTTAACCAGCTTAGGAGATCCAATGTTGGATAAAATAGGTCTTAAGAAGATATTGTTTTTGTGATCTTAAGGTAAATGACTTTAAGAACATTTTAAGAAATTCAATTACGTTGTTTTAACATTTTCTGAAAATATATTATGGTGAACTATGACCCTTTCACATCGACCTAATTAGTTTAAGTACGTTATGTAACTCTCAAATTTCATTTCAAAAATAAAACTAGTGGTTGAAATTCTTTGAAACTTGAGAGGAACTTTCCTTAACTCATTAACTGTGGCAGAAGCAGCTCAGTTGCCGTTTTTTGACTCGCAGATAAAACTGAGTTGCTATCAATCACAATAAAACGGTAATTTTCGTCATTCGCATAGAGTTATAGTTATATATGTGCGACTAACGGATATTTCCTTCATTCGCAGCTGAGCCACAGAACTTCATTGACATCATCTGCAGTTAATGGGTTAAGACATTTAGTTTAAAAAAAATTGAATATTTGATTTTTATTTTTTCTATTATTTGTACTAAAATTTCTTATTAATTTTAGTAATTACTTGTACTCGGGTTTTGAATAGTTGAAGTGCAAGGTGATTTACATCTTAAGTATAAAAATGCTTTTTTTATGTCACATTTTTCATACTTCAGTTGCATAACTCTACAACCTCCTAAATGAATATCAAAAGTTTTTTTAAGGTAAATATTTATTTTCATTTTCTCTATCACATCACTTACTGTAGCTATTATCATCTATGTACAGTGCAATAAAATGTTTAAAATTATGAAACAGAAGTATGTACATACCTTTTTAACTCTTCTTCAGGTAATCCTAAAAAATCTTATTTTAGTTATGTTTGTAATTTTAGGTCTTATATTTTCATTTAGTTTATTTTTCTTGGCATTTACGGTTTTACTTTTTCTCGACACACACCAACTGGTATCCCTGGAGCATTACAGTATGTTTTGCAGAGATACATAAGTCTTCGGTAAAATGTTTTTGGACTCAAATAGTAAGTTAACCATTATGAACTGAGGCAAAGTTTGGGTTATATTAAAAATTATTAAACCTATCAAATATGAATTTTAAAATGTAAATAAATAAAATATAATTTACTAAAATATGAAAGTGAAACCCAAATATAATTTAATTGTATTTTACAAATGTGTATGAACCTAGGCGAGAGATAATGCTAAGTGCTAGTAAGAATGAAATCAGTAAAAACTGCTTCAGCTGTTTGACATACTTGAAAATGAATATTGTACACCAGTTTTAAAACAACAATTGGGAAATTGTAGTTTAAAATGAGCCTTTTCTGTTGGTTATAAAAATGTCAATCAAATAAGTACATGTTACTTGAAATGACATATCCAAATAAGAAGAAAGTGGGCATGGCTACTGTCAAGTGGTGAGTAAATTTTTTTTTACCTCAAGTTGATCTGATAGAATTTGAACTAAGAATGGATAAATAGTACTTGCTATGCTAATAAGTTCAGTTTATACATACCTGTACAATGTACATGAGCTATTATTCAAGTAATAGAGACAAAGTCAAGATTTGTGATTGCTTGTGCTCATATGACAACAGAACTGAAGTTTTAAGTATTTTTATATAAAGGTTTCTTTTTAAATAAAGAAATTCAAACTTGTATAAAACTTTGAAATATGTACATGATAATGCTAATTTCATTAGAATACATTGATAGTAAAGTTAAACTTTGAAAGTAATTCTATAAGAAAGGAGTTTGAAGAGTGTAGTCAAAGTGAAAAGGTTAACCAGTCAACATTAAGAGCTTTAAGTTTTGTTTGGTCATTAAGAATACACTATTAAGGATGACAACACCTGTACTTTTATTAGATTGGGTGACTTGGTATTCTAAGGCAGTATATTCTTCACTCATACAGTCAGTTGTAAAATGAAGACAAAGCAGATTTTTGAACTTGTTTTTTACAAATCCCTAAGTTCTGGGAACAAAGTATGTTGATTTCAAGGTTTTATAAATGCATTCAAAGGGGAACAAGTAATCAGATAGTTTGGGGGGAGGTGTAATTACAATTTTTAGTCTTTAGCTGAAGTATTTTTACAGGGTTTTCTGAGCATATCATCATTAAAGTTAGAAATGGCCTAGAGAATTCTATAAGTAACGATTTGTTGTTTTGCAATAGAGGAATTTGGGGATGACTTGATGGTAGTTACAGGTTAAGAAATAAATGTACAGAATTAGTATGTGGAATCTCAGGTAAATTTTTTCAAAAGATCAAAATAGCCAGAGAATGTCATTACTTTATTGCCATTGGAACTTTATAAATTTAGAAATCTTTGTATCTTTTATTTTTATGTTGTTTCATATAGCTTGCTGGAAATGGGATATGAATATTCCAAAATGTTCAAGTGCTAAATGTCTGTTGCCATCTCAAGTGTCGGGTGTTGTTGCTGTTGCCATTGTACTTTTATTTATCAATAAACTTCAATTCCTTTGGAGTGAATCTGTTATTTTACATGATATGTGTGTTTAAACTAAGATACATTGCAACTGACAATTTAACTATTAAATAGTAACGGTTATGATAAAAATTTGTGATAAACTAACTTCATGTAATTGGGTTAGTCTCATTCAGTCCAACTAGTTTGCAAAATATGGAATAGATGGTGATTGGACTGATTTATTGTAAAGTATTGAACTGTATGGGTAGGATAACTTCTATTTTACAACTATGGTCATTTAATTTTGGTTTCATGGGTGGATATTTAGAGTTTATATTGTGTATAAATAAGTTATACAGGAGAGAACTATAGTTGCATGTTATTTTATCTGATTTCAATTACAAGGATGAGTGAAAATTGAAATTCCAGTTGTTGTTTTTTTTTGGACTTCTTAACTTTATAATTGGTCCTCTGGAATGAGTACTGTGCCTACAGCCAGATGCAGATCACATAGATAGATCAGCTGAGGACTTTGTGGGTTTAAGCACGCAGTTAGTTCTCTCCCATTAATTGTTGTTAAATTGCTTCCCTAACTGTTTCACCAGCAGTTAAATGAAAAAAGCTTATCCTTTTGGATGCTGATTCTGCAGTTCCCTTCGTACACAATTTTAACTTTTGGATGCTGTTTTAGAACTTGTAATTTTTGTTTTAATATTTTTATCCTAAGTGGTTTTTATTCATTTAACTGACTAGCAAACGTACCTACAATGAGGGCAGAATGTGCTTTATTGCCTTCACGAGGTGGGTGATGCATCAATAGCCTGAAATAGTAGTAAGGAGAAAACTTTTAGAAAATGAACAAAATAAAGGATTTTGGAGATCTATATAGGGCATACCCAAGTATCACTGAAAGTTCCTTGGGGATTAGAGGTCAAGAATTTGGAAATTTTTGTTTACTAATGGATAAGCCCCCCATTGGCACAGCGGTATGTTTGCGGACTTACAACGCTAGAAACCGGGTTTCGATACCCGTGGTGGGCAGAGCACAGATAGCCCTTGTGTAGTTTTGTGCATAATTAAAAACAAACTAATGGATAAAGAGACAAGTTACTTTATAGTATAAATTAGATTATTTTCATCACTGGTTCATGAGGCTGATATATTTATAGTTTGTATATATTTATGTTACACACACAACTACATCTGGTAAGTGACACGTGGTGGTTGTAGTTATAAATGTATGCCCTTTATTTTCAAGTCTGATTTTACAGCATGTAACCCATTTGTTTTTAATAATTTTTGTAATACTTCAAATTATTCTGTATATCTTAAGGACTAGATACTTAATGAAAATGTTGTTGTGAAGCAGATAGAGGTAGAAGTGTACATGGAAACCTAAGAAGAAAATAGTTAACATTTATTATAGTTTTTGATTGATGTGGTTTTTGTGGTTATTTGACAAAAGTAAAAGATGTATTTGAATAAAATTCTGAAATTTTATTTTAATAGATTCTTAAAACATATTTGAGCACTTTTGTTTGAGATTTATAATTTCAAATTTATTTATGTATCTTTCTATTAATATTTCATAAGCTCTCTTTTCATACTGTTATGTGTGTATGAAATGCATAAGAATTATTAATATTAAATTTTTTTATTTAATGGAGTAAGAAAATCATAGATCTTAGAATGTTGAAAATATGAGGTTCATTAATCTTGTATGTTTAGGTTTGCATGACATAATGATGGTGGAGTTAGGTTTGAGACATATGAAAGTTTAAGTAAATTATTACTACTTCAGAACTCTTCCATACGGAACGCACCCATGTCCGGAATCTGAAAGTGCTAGATAGGTTGTTTTTCAAGCCAATCCAGCAGGAACAGCTTTTACCACCAGACCAATTATACCTTCTTTTTCCTAACTTGGAGGAGATGCTGGAGATCCACAGTAGGCTTAACAATAAAATGAAAGCCCGCAGGCGGGAACAACCAGTTGTTGGTGATGTTGGAGATATCATGCTGGAAATGGTGAGTCTTGTTGATGTAATTGAGTTGCTTTATAATATCTTCTTTAAGATAATGAGATCAAGCTAACATCATGTAAAACCTTCAGGTGATATTTAGATTCATGTAGTTGTAGGAGACATAAAAACTCAAACTTTACAGATCTTACCGTATTTGATAACAGGACAAGTTTTCAATAGATAACATTTATACAGCTACAAAGCAGTATAATTTTTGGCATTTACACTTCACATGTTCACAATTAGTTTTTGTGCATTTTGTTTAATGTTTCAGTAGTCAAATAAATCCCACCAAACATCCTGGATCCTTAATATACAACTTTGGTCTAAATCCCTAGATATTCCATTGTTTATTCATGAATATCCTAAGATCAAGCAAAATAATTGGATCAAAAGGAAGGGTAAAACTTTTATAAAGGGTCTGATCTTGTGTCCTAATATTTATATCAATGATAGGTTTCTGCTAACTTAATTTGCTAAATTTTTAAATCTGGATTTGTTAATCCTAATTCTAGTATTTCTCTTAAATAGAGAACACATTTAGAAATTGTTGTTTCTTTTCTAATTGAGGTACTTTAGAGTTATATTACAAAGCTCAAAAAAGTATCTTCTGAATTTTTTTTCAAGATTGTGCCTAGCAATTTTAATGTTTGCAAAGATAAAGAAAACACCAAAATTAATCTTTCCATTTTATGCTTTAATTTCTGTTTAGCCTATAGGTTTTAGACATGTATTGGTACACATTTCATTCTTGAAATTACTTCATTGGAAATATTTATGTGAGTGTTATCTTTATTTAAAAATGTGTTTTGTTTTTCTCTATAGCTTGATGGACCTTCAGGTAAGGAGATCAAGAATGCAGCAGCCAAGTTTTGTCGTAACCAATCAATTGCTCTGGAGTCACTAAAGAACAAACAGAAGAAGGAACAAAAGCTGGCACAGTTCTTATCTGTAAGACTGGTGTTTTTATGTTTTCATATAGTTTTGTTTGTTTATCCTTAAAAACTTTTTTTTTTTACTCAAACATAATTTGAACCATTCCAAATTTTCCCTGGTATCTCATTATACTCCATTAAATATTATTATTATTATCTGATTCAAAGTTAAGTACCTCACAATACTTCTTCCAAATTGCCCAGTATCAATTAAACTTGTTAGTTTGGTCGTTATGCTGTTTTAGTAGTCATATGTGTTATTTGTAACTTGGCAGTTACAAACAGAATATTTATAGTTTTTGTGCAGTCTATGATGTAGAAAGCATGAGTAGAATACATATATGGAGACATGCAGATTTGGAAACTTATCAGAATTTGTAGTTGTAGGTTATGGCAATCTGAAAATTGTGTGTCATGACATGTAGTTTGATACAAATACAACAAAAGTTTGCAGTATCAATACAAGTAAGATTCTTGTTTGTAATCACTTTGGATTACTAATACTCAGTGACTCTGGAAAAGTATCATGTTATTGGACGTGTTTTAGAAAGTGAGCTTTATTGTTTATCAATAAAATTTTGTATTATGGTACGTGTATTTATTATATATTTGTTTTACTGTAGGATACTGAAGCAAATCACCTCTGTAGAAGGTTACAGCTAAAAGACATTATTGCCGCAGGCTTTCAAAGACTAACAAAATATCCTCTTCTTTTAGAGAATATTGCAAAGTATACACCACGTAAGTACAAAATATTCCATCAGAAGTGCTAATGTATATCCCTAATTTGTATTTTTGCACTGTAAGTACCTTAATAGCTCATCAGTTCATGTGCTTTACTTTTATATTGGCTCCTACCTTTTCTAACCCTCTAATATAATCTGTAGTATATTTAAGTTGTTTTAATTCTGTATATAGCATAATCTCATATGTGAGAATTGTTTGTTTTGTACATCAATGAGCTAATAAATACCGATTTTGAAATTTGTACTATCAATTATATGTATTTAAAAATAAAATTTTTCTTTTTTAATTTAGCCTTTTTGCACTTTTGGATGACTAAACTTTAGATTAATAAAACCTTATTCATTATTGGCTTAGTTTTCTAACTCACTGTTGTTTAGTTTAATAGTTTTATACAAGTTTTGAACATGATACAATGTTTCAAATTCAATTAAACAGAAACAATTACAGCATGTGATTTACTCTTCATATTTCCCAAGCTTGTTATGTTGTATTTGAAAAATGGATGGTTTTTCAGTGTGCTTTAGCTAGAAAATTGCTTAAGCAACAAAAAATTAAAATTTAATTATTTGTATTTTCTTATGACTGAAACTTAAAGTATCTCTTTTACTTTAGTTTCGTAAACTGTCAGTTGTGATATCCTTAACAAAGTTTATAAAGGTAAAAGAATTCTTGCTTCTGCATACTAAATCTTCTACATGAAAATTGTCTAATTGCTATGCCATGTATAATGATGTAAAAATCATGTTTCATTGTTTCCAAACATGTTTTAATTAAGTGGAATATGTACAAATTAGTGGAGTACATATTTGCATTTATGAATATTCTATTGATCCATGCAGATAAGTCATAACAGAAATACATAAGAAACAAGTGTAATATGATTAATATCATATCTGTATTATAAACACTACCATGCAAATACAAATATTGTGTGATAATAAATAAATCACAGCCGAATGTTTTAATTCTTATTTAGTATTCACACAAGTTCCTGATATATGATATCTTCCACCAGAGGAAACAATGTGACAAAACAATTTCAAAATATTCTAGTAGTGTGTTAGTCAAAAAACCTCTTTAAAAGTTAAGAAATTTAGTGGTTGTAAACATACTTTTTACTCTCGATTATTTCTAACTAAAGTTTTAACCTCCACAAAAATAATTATCAGTGCCCCAAGAATTTCTTCTTCTTCTGAATTTGATTACACAGAAAATTCTGAAGAACATAGGAGGTTACTGCAGGCAGTACAGTGTAGCAAACAAATCCTGGCACATGTCAATCAAGCTGTTAAAGAATCAGAGAATGAACACAGACTTGGCGAACTTCAAAAGAAAATGGACAGAAGTGCCTTTGAGAAAGTGGAGGCACCTATTGTTCAAGCCTATCATGTAAGTATTTTCATGATCAAAATATGTAGGTAGTTCTATATCTTCAAGGTAGATAACAGTATGCACTTTTTTCTGTGTAAAGAAAGAATACCTCAACATTTCAAAATTTGGCACCTATTAAACTTGATGATAATATGTAGAAAATGGAATTGTAATACACTAAACCATATTGTTTTTATTGCTTTTTTGTGATTGTGTGTGTAAATAGTACTGTATAAATTAGTTGTACTTATAAAGACCTGAGTGACAAATTAGAATGAGTGTATATGCACTTTTGCTCCTCTTCCAATAAAATATTCAAATAATTTGTATGTATGCAAGTAATAAGAAAGTGAATCTTGTTTAAACATAGAATACTTTCTGGGAGGATTTTCCATAGCAAACAACAATAGATATGTATATTTTGTAACAGTTTACAAAAAATATGTTTTTACAAATATGAAATATTATTCTCAAAATTTGCATTCAACTTTAAAATAGTTTTATAAAATAAGCAAATTATGAAATGTCAGATGTTAAGGTTTAATTAATGAAATGAAAAATGACAGATAACTCTCATAGATGATACTAAGAAATACGTATGCATGAGGTAATAACATAAGATTATTCTTAGTTTTAACCATTAAAATGAAAAATCATTATTTTGTTTGTTAATTCTGTCTTTACAGCATCTTGATCTAACAAAGCATAAACTAATCCATGAGGGCCCATTGACTTGGAGGTTACACAAACAGAAAACTATTGAGATGCATGTAGTATTACTGGAGGACATTCTTGTGTTGCTTCAGAAGCAGGATGATAAGCTACTGCTGAAGTTCCACAACAACAATCTGATGTCGGGCCGAGAAGACACCAAAGTTACCCACAGCCCAATACTTCGTGTACAAAACCTGTTCACGAGGAATGTGGCCACAGGCAAGTTGTATTTACTGTGTTTGTGTGTATATTATAAAACACTATGATCATTTAAAGACAAAAATGATAAAACTAGTAAAATTATACTATGAAATTTATATCAAGAGAAACAAATGTATTGAGAAGAGAGTATAAAAATGTTTAATCATAATAAAATTGTATCAGTAAACTTCAACATCCTAATTTTTTTTATCAGATAGTTAATTTATACTAGAAAAATATTGTTTGTTTTCTGTGGGAAGAACTTTGAAAAACTCCAATTATTGTTAGGTGCACAAACAAAAACAATCAAGTAGTTTGTTGTGGAAAAAAATATACTTTGAAAATATGAGCAGGTCAGTGAACACTGATATATATTTTACATATATAAGGAATCGATTTTTTATATGTTTGACAGCTAATTCTAGTGAAAGTTGTAAGTAAAGTAAACTTTAAATAAAAAAGTCTTGTACTTTGAATTCAGAGTTATTTACCACAAACAAGATTTTCATTGGTGAGTTTACCTTTTGGATGTTAATTCAACATTTCAAAGCTGTTGACTTTATGTATAAAATATTTGAATCCATGTTGGAAACATGTAACGTATGGTGATTAAAAATAATGAGTATAGGGGGAGGGGGGGAGAATAATTGAGAAAGGCCCATTATTTATAGTTTACTAACTTGGACTTGGATTGTTGAATGTATGGCAAAGCAAAATGTCAATTTAAATAAATGCATGAAGCAAGCAATATAATCAATAATTGTATAGCTAAACATACTATAAGGAGTTTTGTAGGTTTAGTCATAAAGTTAAATTTCTGGAGTTTAAAAAGTAACAGGACCAGTTACAATGTAGCTCTATGGAAAATTGTGTTCCCTTCATGTGTTCTATGTATATATTAAATATTCTCATGTTTTCCAAAAAAAAACACTACAGAAACGAAATGAATGTCACAAAAATCTGAAAATTGGAGCTTGACTTTATGTGAAGTTATTGAAAGTGTTTTTGTATGGGTATAAAAACAAGAAAGTTTCATTCTCACATAGAACATTACTGTAAATATATAAGTATTATATAAAATATTTCATTTAGTTTTTTTTTATATTAATAAACAGAGGGTAACATAGCATATTTTACTCTTGTATTATCTGCTCTAAAACAATTTCATTCAAGTGGCATTTTGCATTACAGTATAATTCCTGTTTACAGCTATTATAACATACTAAAATAATTTTTGTGTTTAGAAATACATACTAAAGTATCTTATTCTCTAATAATGCCTGTATTATTAAAGGTACTTCAAAAAAGGGTGCTTGTAAATTGCATTGTAATATTTGATATATCAGACAGTTATTATAATTGAATCAAATTTTAGATAGCAAAGGATTTTTCCTTGTTTCTACATCTGAACAACATGCCATCTATGAGTTTGTGGCCACATCAGCTTCAGAAAGAAAAATGTAAGAACTGGTCTTTATTTTTGGCATGTGCAGTATAGATGAAGAATATATTAAACATAAGCTCTTTCAGTTTTATCATATTTTGTTATAGACATAGAAGACAATTTACTAGTGAATGTGTGCCAAAAATGTAGCTGATAGATCATTTCTCCCAGAAGGGAAACTATTAAAAAAATTAAGTTCTAATAAATGGTAGCTGTACAAAATAATGCTTTCTACTAGAAATTTGGTTGATGATCTCCACCTTTAATAAAAAGAAAAATTACAATTGTTAGTATATTTTTCACTTGGGTTCATATTTACTGATGTTAATGTAAATCCATATACAGTGTCATTTGTCACAATAATTATTCAGTGTTTAAGGTTATTTTATGTACATTATACCTTTTCATATGTTATGTTGAAGTATAACTTGTTTCATTTAATCTGAAGTAATTTTTTAATCTTTAAATCCAGGTAATAATTAATGAATGTACAGTCTGAAAGGTGTAAAAGGGGTCTGAGTTCTAAAGATTTTAGTGATTATGTAGACCTACAATTAAAAAAAATATTTTTTTTTGTTGATATCACTTGCCTAAACTTCACCAAATATGACAAAATACATTAGACACAATCTGAAACTTTCTATTTCAGTTCAAAATGATATGTAAAACTTGAAATGTGTTATTTGCTTGTAATTTCATATTGTGTTAAAAAAAACAGTGTAAAACCAATTCCATAAAGCTTTTCTTTTCCACTTCAATGTTACGAAAATTAATTTCTAATAGGTGGTTAAAGTATATCACAGAAGCCTCTGAAGCTCACAAACCCAGACATGGCCAATCAGCCAAAGCCCAGGATTCCTCCTCATTGTTGCCTGAAAGAACAGAAGATATTTCAGAAGATTCTCTGGCAAAAAACAAAGTGTAAGCTTGAAAATCAACCATGTGATATATTTTTAGCACCATATGCATACCAACTAATAACTTGAAAAATGGCTTAAACTTTTTACTATAGCAAATATTAAAACTTTGTTTGTTTGTAAAGAGAAATATTAGTTGGGGTTGAAGGTAAAATTATTTACTGAATACTAATTAAACTGACGTATTTATATTTAATTTTGAAGAATAGTTTATTTATTGATTATACGTTTAGCAGGAAAACAATCATTGGTGTACTTTGATTAAAGTAGTTAGTTAAAATGCTTCTTGTTTTTGAAGATTAAATGTATAATGCTTATTTTAGGTAGAGTTGAAAACTATGTTAAGAAGAGAAATTTTCCTGTGTTCAAATGCATATTTCACTTAATAAGAAATTATCTTTCTGTCATAAACCTAGGATGCCTGTATCGTTAGACTCTTCACATTCTGAAGTAAGCAATGGTGTGGAATCCACAGACACAGGAGAAACCAGTGATAGCAGCTCGCATAGTGTTCCTAACACTGAAATATCTAGTCCCAATCCCCCAACAACAGAAAATCATCCAGAGAAGGATACTTCGTCAGTCTCACCACAGAAAGAGGCTCCTTCACCTTGTAGTTCGGTTGAAGATAGCCAAGAACAACAGAATCTTGAAAGAGTAAAACTTTTTCATGTACCAGTCAAACCCCAGCTGATAGAACCATCAGAGATCAAAGTCAGCGAAAGTGTGGTTCTTCAAATTGCAGAACCTGTACTTACTCCAATAGGTACAGTTACATCATAGATCATTTATTTCATACATTATGTTACTGTGGGTGTGATGTTTCACCAGTTCGTTTATACTTAAAAAAACAAAATATTGTACAAACAAACTATGAACATACAGTTGATGAAGTTTTGTTTTTTTCTACGCAAAGGTATTAATTTACCTATACTACTTTTCTTTTAATGATATACTGTAGGCCAAGCAAAGGCATACATTTGGGCAGACAGTCTAACTTTTAATTTTTTTTTTTTCTAGACTAAATCCAATTGATTTTGCATAATGAGAACTATATGTGTATCTGCATTCTTATTTAGAATTTGGATTCTTTTTTCATGCTAAAAGCATTGAACTTGTGTATTTTTATTGCTAATAGATTTTTCCTGATTAACTTCATAATTGGCATTCAAAAAGAATTTGTTTTCGTCTTGTTTTAAAACACTGTTTATTTTGAGCATTAGGAATTAAATAGTAATAAATGAAAAGGAAAAATTTCCAAACAAAATTGATTTTTACCCCATACTTGACCATATATGACATGGGTACTAGTGATTGTTTTTTAAAAGCCATTGAGGTAGTCTTAAAATGTGCAGCAAAAAGGGGGGTAGTTTATTGCAGCACCAACTTTAGAAAGACCACCTGCCAGTAAGTTTTGTATATTCTTTATTTATTCCCCATCATCAGGATGAAAAGGTTCAACTTGGATTTAAGCCTAATCTTAACATAAACAAACCATGACTTTGTATAGTTTTTGAAACTAGCTAATCATAGCCAAGGAGACTTGGCAACTTGGAATGGCAGAAAATTTTTATTTATAAATCAACTAAATATAAAACATATATTGATTGGCTAGTGTCTTTGAAAGTAGATGTTGAATCATATTGACTAAAGTAAACTGTGTACTGGAATTGGTGGCTCACTTAGCTTTTACAGAATAGTGATAAAATTGGGGCTACAGGTTATTTTTCTTTTGTAGGTTTTATTAACTTAACCATGGTGTGTTTTTTTCTTTTTTGGTGTTTTTGGATATTTAAAAAGAAACGTATTATATCACACAAAAAATACAGCAAGCTAGAAGTATTGTACACTTGTATACAAAAAAAGTTTATTTAAAGTCCTCTTTTTGGAATTTAATTTTTTTTCCTATAAAGGTGTACATTTGTTCACCATATTATTCACCTGATGGTAGAGTATATTAATTGTATGTTGCACCATAGTGTTGTGCTGTTAGAGTAAATGAATTCTTTTTAAAAAAATATAAATTTTATTCATGTATAAGTGTCATTTCCATCACACTGTACTGTTAGTAATGGTCAGAACTGGTCTTATAATTAGTTAAAACAAAGTTGGTCTGATCTTATAAAATTATATATAAATGTTTTACCAAATAGATGAGAGGATTAAAACTAATTTGATAGCAATGAATGTTTTTAAAAAACCTATAGGAAATTTTTAAAACAATTCTGAAGATGCCGGCATATCGATCTTACACAAATCTGCAAATACCTATAAGTGTCTATTAAAAAAAAGTTTTTTTTTTTGCATTACAAATTATTTGAACTGAATTAATTTCAACAGTCTAAGATATCTTGTTCTATTTAGAAATGGTACGTCGCAGAGACCAACAAATTACAGAAGCTTTGGCAGAAAAGCAAGACCTCATCTCTCAGATTTTTCAGATTCCAAAGAAAGAGTTTGACCATGTTGCTGAGGTATGCTAGGATTCTGTAGTTTTTGTTTTTTTTATAAAAACTTGTTTTTGGACTGTGTTTTGAAAATATGAAACAACTTGGTTGTTTTAGGTACTAAGAGTTTTTTATACTGACCAATTGAGCAGTGTAAGTTGATGAATCAGCACACTAGTCTAAATCAGTATTTAATTATTTTATCTTACTGTGAAGGTTTAATGTATCTTACATACCTGTGGTCTTTATATACAAACTGAAGTATTCAGAAATGTAAATTAATTTTTTTCTACAAATTTAATCTGTTACTAATAAGAGATTTAAAAATAAAATTCAATTCAAAACATTTCATCCACAGTAAAACCAGTTGTAAAGTTTTATTTGTTTCATAACTTTAACACCTGTTTGCTAGGTTTTATGACATGGACCTGAATTTAATAATTTTATGGAGAATATTTTCAATATTTGGTAGTAGTTTATTTTATATATGTCCTTGTGATATTATATTGTGAAACCTTTAACCTTTCTGTCTTTGTCTCTGTGCATTAAGAAAAATGTTTTAGAGTAAATCAAAAAAATCCTTACTCATAACAAATTTTAACTTTATAAATTTCAAAAATGACTATTTCAATAAAACAATTAAAAATCATACCATCTGTCAATAAAATACAAAAAGAATAATCTTAATTTTCTTTTTAAAAATCTTACCTCCATCATTGTTACATAGTACTGATTTTATCACCTATATACTGTTGATACTATTTAGTGTTAGACATATTTTAGTTACTTATATGTACAAGTCATTCCATTTCAATTAATCCTTTCCATATTGGAGGATTGTTGTTGATATCTCATGATTTTTTTTTCTTTACTCTCGTAATGGAAATGCATAATGAAATTTCATGGAAGAACGTTTTAAACAGTTTTGAGTTTAAAAAAGTTAATTTCATAAGATATAGTTTTTCTATCAGTGCAGGAATAAAAGTTTAAACATTTTTTATTTTTTGTGCAAATTACACAACATAAATGTTACAAAATGACAAAGTAGAAAGGTAAAAATAATTTTTTATTAGAATTATTGAAGTAAAGGTAGAACTATTATTTTTACTTACATTTGATATGCAGGTATGCACTTGACAAATAAGAGGTGTTCACATGTCTGGATAGCATCAAAGACTTGTGCTATTTAAATAGTGCAAGAATGTTTAATCCAAGTGACATATTCTTTGTCATTTATATATATATAAATATATAATTTTGTTTATATTCCAGATGGCAAGTGAACTTGAGGGTCAAAAAGATTTGAAAGAACTCGTTCTAGCATCCATTTACCAAGGTAGTTTTATTTTTAACACCTGAAAAAATGTTAACTTTTATAATGACTTGTTAGATAGTAGTTTTGGAATTAAGTTCAAACATACAATAATTCTTGAAGTAGTTTTGGTAAGAACATTTAGTCTATATTTGGGAGGGAAAAAATGTATTTCTATTGTCATTACAATAGCACTGGAATCTTTAATGCTGATGTGATCTCTTGTATAAAATGATTTCAATGTTAGAACTGTAATAAGTAACTTGCTGTTACAAGTTTAATGTGTGTAACTATATTTCAGCTAATCAACTTACTTCAGTATTAAATGAAGGCTTAAGAGTGTCTGAAGATGACATGATTAGTACCTGCAGTGCAGAAGGTGAGAGTTATCTTAGCTTTGGAAAACAAATTAGAATTTGACACAGCTTAGAAGTTTGTAATGAAGTAGAATCTCATGTTAATACTAGAATATTTCAGAATTAACAGATAAGCAAAATAGATTATTGATACTTAATGCTAAAAAAAACTAGAGATTTTGTGAAGATATGGCTATATAGAATTTTCTTCAGTTTAAGAAATACAAAGTCATTTAATTGTTAAATGTTTTTTTCTTCACATCCCCTTTTCCTGTCAAAAAAAAAACTATTTCCATTATGGCCACTTGTTTTCTGTTTTAGCACTATTGGACAAATGTATTGTGAGATTCTCTGTAATGAAATAAAACACTAAATGGACTAGATTGGTGTGCTGTTGAGCAAAAACAAAATAAAAAATAATAAGATGGCTATTCTTGTGAGAAAATGACATTTGCCGAGTCTTTGAGATTGTTATTTTGACATATTTTAAAAAAATGTATCTTTTGTAATGTTTTTGGGTGTTTTGTTATTGAAGTTCAAAATGCTGGTTTAAAGCACTGTTTTTCTGCCCAAAACAAGGTTCAATTTATAACTAAATTTTTTTTATTTGCATTATTGCAGTTTTCTTTACACAAAAACAGGTCAGCTTAAATATTATTTTGCACTGTTGAATCGTGAACAAAGTTGAAAAGAATAAAAAATTGTGTAATCCGATTTAATGTTCTGGTTAAGAGGTTAGCACACAGGATTACCTACAAAAGTTGTAATGTTTTCAAATGAGACCCAAAACTTGAGCGCTTTTGAATAGTTAACTATTCTTCTTCAACTTAAATATCATATTTACCTTATTGTACAGTCTGATAGTCCATTCATGTTCAGATGAAGATCAGTTGCAAGGCATCACATGGTTCTCAAATCTAATTTATAAGGAAATATTAAATGTTTTCTTAATATTTCAGCTTGTTATGTTATTGATTTTATGATTTAATAATACTGCCATTTTCAGTTGTGGTGGAAGAAAGCAATAGCAGTCATTCAGAAACTCCATCACCAGTTGTTGCAAGGAAGACAGGCTTGATACTTAGCTTACCTTTAGCAAAATTGATAAATATATCCAGCACTTTAAATAGACACTTGACTCAACTGTTGGTAAGTTGTATATTCTATAGAATTTATTATGTAATTATAAAACCATCCAATTTAACAATGGTAGTGAAAGCATAGAAAGATGAGCATTGCTTGTAGAGACTTTTTTATTTTATTCATTTATGTTTAGGAAGTTGTGGATCTATAACCAATTTACATTTATTGATATAATTGTTTTATGAATGCAGCTACAGTGTCTTTATACCTGAATAAACAATTCCTCAACTATCATTGGAAGAGAGAAATTTTATTTTTTGTATAATGTCTTGTTTTTGAACAAACAAGGGAAATGGTAATCATTCATGTTAATAATTAATGTTATTTCAAGAAAGAATGAACTTACCATTTTCATTTCCCAGAAAGAAGCTGAATTTATTCTGATGGAATTATATTTCTTTTTTGGCTAAGTATCAATTAATAAATATGAATATTTTAACATAAAGACAACAAATTTAAATAATTTAATTTGCTTTAGTTTCCTCTGAGAAATATGTACTATAAAAGTAAAAGAAAAAAATAATTTGTTCATTCTTTTGTGTATAGCTGTATAGCCAGTAAAGGAAAATGTGTGGACAAATAATTGATTTTAAACCCTCATAGTATTGGTTTGGTTTGTCCAGAAGTAAAATTGAAACCACAAGCTGATAAAAAAAATTTTTTGATAAGTTAAAATGGACAAAGTGGACACAATAATAGATAAAAAACAAAGAAAGTCTAAACTGCTTTTTTTATTGCTTTGTGCTTTTGCTTCGTTTTGTTTTTGAAATTTTCCATAAATACTAGTGCTCTGGATTTGTTTGTGTGCACAGCACTACTATTGTATATTGTAAGTCATATTTTTTTATATTTTTTTTAGATAAGTGTATTTCTGCTTAACTAATATACTGAAGTTTATTTAACTCTACTCGTTATTACTCTCCTTCCTATTGTACAGTCATATGTCTCGGAGAGGGAAGAAGAAAGATTGCGAATGCATGATGAACTTCATGCTTCAAGAGAGCAGCTTCATTTTCTTCATGAAAGTCATCGCCTTTGTCACAGATTGTGTCCTTCTCCTAGTAACTTAAATGACAATCAATCTCGACCAAATAGCTACATATCTATAGCTTCATCAATATCTGAAGGACCAATAGACTTAGTAGATGAAAGTGAAGAAACAACAGGTGTTGTTATTACTTTGATCGTACTTAATGTTATAGCTATGTAAATGTGTATTTACTTGTGTGGCAAGGTGTAAAACCAAAATTTAAAACAAATCTTGCATTTTTAAACTTATGAAATATACATTACATATACATATACTTTTTTTAAAATTTAACTTTCTACTAGGGGTTATGGTTTTACCTTATTCTCTTTCATAGTTATTAAGCTTTACAAGTTTGTTTATAAAGCAAAGAAGAAAAACTACAGCTAATCACGTAACTACTTTCACCAGCACTGTACAAGCTGAGAAAAAACCCTTTTCTCATAGTTCATCTTAATATAATACATAATCAAGTTTGATCTGTAACTTAATATTGCCTTCATTCTTTTTTTAAGAACTTAAACCTTTGTGAAAGAGTTCTATTATTAGTGGTTAATTGTGGGCTGCCCATACTTAGCTTCAGCTGTTTCCAATTAACTATCTGTGTTTCAAAATATAAATGTAGCTGTTCTTGAGAGTTAGAATCATGGTTCAGTTTTAGTCTTAGTCACTCAACAGAAAGAGCTTGTGTAAAATGCAGGCAATTGTGCATGTTGATTAATCTTATAAATGAGAAAAGTGTTTGAAAATTAGTGTAAGATAATAAGAGTAATGATTTCATAATCCAAACAAGAGATTGACTTGAACAGACACAGCTTTATAATTCTACAAATAGAAACATAAAATGTGATAGTTGGTTTTCAACCTTCATAAAGACAACTTACAATGTAAAATATATTTATAATTAGAAAATAAAAGGGCTTCTATGTGCGTGAAACAATGTCTTTATAATATTACAATTATATTTAAAATCATTAACAAAATGTGATAGTTATAAATATTATAACACCCTCATGAAGAAAATCACTTAATGTGGTGTTAATTCTATCTGACAAAACCACTTGGGTAACATTTACATTTCATAGAATGATCTTCAAACAACATATGTTAGCTATTATTTCTTATTGTATATTGATTCTTATTTTTTTGTTGTTGTAAATCAAAATGAGACATGGGTTTAAAAAGTATAATTTTACTTCATAGCCACAATAACAGATGAAAACTTCAAAGAGCCTGGAGATGAGGAAAATGAGTCAGAAGAAGAGCATCTGGACTGTTATCTTGGAGATGAAGACGTTGGTGAAATCAGGCAAGCTCAAGATGAGAAATATGAAAGAACTGAGCATGTTTTCTATGAAAAGGAAAGAAAACAAGAAGAGGACAAAGACAAAACTAATCAGCAATTGAGTGACGAAATGGGAGGTAAACAAGAACATTTTGAAACTGAAGAAAAAACTGAGCTAGAATTTTCTGTCATAAAATGTACAGAGGGAGAATTGACCGAAAAAGATGTAGAACATGTGGAAAGCTCTGTCAGAATAATAAAAGAGCATAAAAAAGAGTTAAGTGAACCCTCTGAAGAAGAACTTGGGCATCATGAGGAGAAATTAGCAGAAATCTCTGAGAAAGGATTCTTAAAATTGAATCAAGATGAAAGACAACCTGGAGAAGAATTGAGTGAAGATTGTGAAAAACAAACTCAATATGGTAAAGAGTGTAAAATTGAACATGAGTTAGAGATTGGTAGTAAAGCAGTAACTGAGGAAGATTTGAGCAAAATAAAAGAAATGGAAGCATACAACTTGGAGGGAGAGGAAGATAACCAAGAGCAAAGGTTATGTGAAGAAGATCAAGAAAAACAATCTGAGATTGAAAAACACTTGCAAGTATTAAATTCTGAAAAGAATAATGTAGTGAAAAGAGATAACTCTAGTATTCAGGAAGATATGGGAGAGTTTACAGAGGATGAAGAAGATGGAGACAAGATGCAGCAATATCAGGAGGAGCAGGACAATGAAACTAATGGGTTTAGTACCCCTACAGAACAGTTTGTTGATGCTCTATCTGGAGATGAAGAAATTGAAGGTAGCAATCCTGAGCATCCAATTACAGATATAGATCAAGAAGATAACATATTAAACCAAGAAAATCAGAGCAAAGCGGGTGATGATAAATGCTATGATAAGGAAGGAAATTTGACACAAACAGGCTTAATATCCTGTACCACAGAAAACAGGCCCTTTGATAACCACGTTACTGCCAAGTCAAATGCCAACTGTGGTTTGGATGAAGTGACAAAAGACTTTGGATGAATAAAATCCATTTATGTATTAATAAGAGAATATTATATGGTAGAAAGGGGATACCCAAACTATCGTTTTTGTATGAAACTCCTGAGGTAATTTTCTAGTGTAGACTTTTTTTTGCACATCTTTGAGAAATGTGTATTATTTTCATAGTGTATCTTTTGGGGACTCCAGTGGGAAAGGGGAGTTGTAAACGCTATGTAAATGGACATTTTTTTTATGATTCTGAATATTGCTTCTAAAACGCCAAAATAACCCGTGTTTTAAATTTGATAACACATGGAGTGTTGTTCTTTTCTGTTACTTTGATTACCAACTTTTTTTAATACAGAAAAAAATTCAATGTTTTTATACTTTAGAAATAATTATTATAGATATTTTGTCCAAAACATTCAAGGGCCATGTACATAACTTGTAAGAGATTGTGATGGAAAATCTTTTTCTCTTTGAAATGATTTGTAAGACATGTATAAAATTTTCTTTTTTCACTAAACATGGGCAACCACCATGGCCAGTCTTGACAACTTAGAGGGTGCATCACTAATTGTGATTCTCAAAATAAATAATTGTTTTTCGTTGTTTATGTTTGAAAAGTAGTTTTGGGGTATAAATTATTAGTTATTATTGGACTGTGTTATTAAACATGTTTTTGAATGGAAAACAATCTTTCATTATAGACAAGATTACCTATTTAGTTAAGTAGAAGAAAACTTATGAAGGTGAGACTTATTTCCTGTGAAGTATTAGATCGGTAGCTGTACATGGTTCAAATTACAATGTTATAAATTCAAACTGGGATCATAAGTTGAATCGTGCTGTAAAGTGGTAGCTTACATGATACATGGAAAATTTCTTTATTTTTTCACTCTTAAAATATTTGATAAAATGAGTCTAAATGCTTTGAAACATTGACTTTACTGAGTGATTATGAGATTTTGAAACTTCGGCATTGAAACTATGATTTATTTGATCAGATATGGAAGTGCATCCGAGAGGTTGTCATACAGAAGAAACTTGACAATAGTGGTTTCTTCCCGACTCATTAAGACCAATGATAATATATATATTGTATGTTTGTGTGGTAGCATGCTCCAAGAAATAATGTACTGTACATATTAAATTCTGCTGTTGTTGGTCAGTGAAACGTGCCCAAGAGGCTATTTCAAAGTAAAGCCTACCCATGAATGTGTATTAAGGTGTTCACTGATAACTAGCAATTCGCGGAAGAAGAGTCAATGCTTATATGTATATATATAAATATATATTAATACAGAAATTTTTTGAAAACGAAATCATTATGAACTTAATTTAAAATGTTTGAATAAATGTAAAATTCATTTTGTTAATAACTTGGTTTGGTGTTTGTTTCCTTTTTTAAACCCTAAGGGTTCTCGAAGGTATTATGTTCGTAAATGAATAAGAGGAATGCCTCAATAGTTGCGGCACTTGAAATTCTTTAAGGCAGGATAAGAGTAAATTAATCTACGAGACCATTTTTCCTTTTTATTAGCTATATTACCATGCGTGGGGCACGAGTAATACCCATTCGATTTTATTAGTCATCAAAATATGTACCAGCTCACCCTCGAATTGAAATTATTTTAGGCAGAATTAGAGTAGATTCATCTACAAGACTTGGGCGTGGGAAAATACATCAGTCGAAAGGGTTTGACCTCCCTGAGTCAAAACTGTAATTATATCTCAAATCGGTCAAGAGATGACGTAGCTATGAGCTAAAAGTTTGTACTTAAAACCACGCTTGGTATTGCTGGCGCACAAAAATATAGCTAATAAAAAGGGGAAACAAAGGTCTCGTAGATTAATTTACTCTAACCCTGCCTAAAGGAATTTCAAGTTACGCGGATATTTAGAATTCCCTCTTATTATTTGTATAGGTGCAGAGAAACAACAGTTAATATAGGTGACCGTGAAGATATTATACAACTTTAGATTTAAATACAAACGTTAATTTTAATATTCTAGTATCTAGAGAAGTAATGTAACTAGTTTACACTACTGATCTCCATCACATATACCAAGGTAATTTTTAGCTGTGGCAGAGCGGCTCATAGGATGGGTCGAGTTTGTTGTTGTTGTAGTTTGTTTGATTGTTCGGCTGAGCGGCTCCGAGTTTTGTATTTTCAAGTACAAACTTTTAGCTCATTGCTCAGTCATCTCTTAGCAGATTTGAGATCCAATTACAGTTTTTGGACTCAGGAGGTCAGACCCTTTCGATTGATGTATTTAGCCACACCCAAGGTCTCATAAGTTAAATTATTCTAATCCTGCCTAAAAGAATTTCAATTTGAGGGTAGGCTGGTAGAGAACCTGAGGAGTAATAAATGCGAATGGCAGTTTTTGAGTCACTGACAGTGTGTGTCACGCTAAAACATGTCTTTTGGCAGTTTTTGAGTCACTGACAGTGTGTGTCACGCTAAAACATGTCTTTTTCTTTATTTTATTATTATCCTGATAACTATTGTATGAAAAATATATAATTTCACAACAACGGTAGTGCATAATAAGGAATCAATATACCAAGGTCATTGTTTCTTGATACAAGAATGATTTTTATTTTTTGATACATTCGATAATTTTTGATGGAGTTATTCCATTTTTTATTGCTCTAGCATAGGTACTCGGTAATGTCGGGTCTAAAAATTAATGGTTCAGTCACTCACTTGTTAACAACTTGTGACATGATATACAATTTAATGTTTCCTACACTTACAATTTGTTTATGAATCATTGTTTATTTAGAAACCAAGGTTTACTTAGTTCGTACGCGCGTGGCTTGTTTTATAACCTATAGGTTAAATATAGGGATAACTCCAGTTACTTTTTTTTTTACTGTTGAAAACGTACTGCATTCATGTAACTAGCTTGTTTATAGATTTTTTTAATGCGTCATCATATATTTTTTATTTGAAATTAGGCTTATTTAGCCTCCGAGTTTCCAATGGGATCGGAACCTCATCGTTTTTTATAACATTTTGTTTTAAGTTATTTTTGTATCGTACATCTTACGGTTACAAGACTTTCTTGTTAGTTGTAGAGTCATTAATAACACACGAGTAAAACAAATAAACAAACAAAAAACGCAAAGAAAGATACAATCAGTATTGCTGCTGGGATTCCCTGTGTATTGTACATAGAAAATTAATATTGTTATTGCTACAAACGTAACACCAGTCAATAATATTGATGCAGTATATGAACTCCAACAGTAAAGAATATTATAATAAGAAACTGATTATTCGAAGGTTAAAGATTGTTAAAACATTTTGTTATTCTTAAGCACAATGGGATTTCGTCGATGTGCTCACTGCAGAGATCGAATACTAGATTTTGGCGTTATAAGCACTCATAGTTCCAAAGGAGTCTGTTCATGGAAAACTTCTACCACAGAATACTAAACTACTTGGGTCGTTACAGACTAGTTGAATACTATTGACACTTTTTCTTTGCATTTGTCCTCCCATGGGATCAGTGGAAAGCTTACGAACTTGCAACGCTCAAATTCGAGGTTCGATTGCGCGTGATGTAACTATGCACTAAAACAACAATTCTTGGTATTTTCGAACATAAAATACTCAATTGCCGATGATTACCGGTTAGCTGAATACATTTTAGTGATATATGTTTATACCACCGGTTTAAGTAGTTCGGTATTACTGGTAGTTATTTAGCATAAGTTTGTAACAAATTCGAAACGATAGTGTTATTTTGATTGTCCTTGTGTATTTCCTTATCAGTCCTTACTTTTTTTATACGACGGATACTAACCCTGCTTAGAAAGATTCTTTCAAGCGCTTATATAAGGTGAAGAGCTAGAGGTATCTTGGAGGATATCACTTTTATTATTATTTACCACTAGGACACCCTTCACCCATTGATTATGTTACCTATAAGAAGCATAAAAGTTACGTGTTTAAAGTCACTTCATGTTGATATCTTGATAGGTTTGACAGGAGATGAAGTATGATGCGTGAACGCGTGTTCTGAAGAGCTAAAAGCTGATTAATAAAACTCTCAAGTGTATTCCTATATACTGTAACGTCAATTTCAGCATATTTTTAGAACGGTTGAATTACGAGATGGATGGCAAATACTCGGTGACGATGTGGAAGTATTGGAATCAACGACATTCATCATGAACATTAGCGTGTAGTGAAAATGCATCGTGAACAGATATGTGCTTTTAATTTTATTTCTGAATTTGGAAAGATTTTATACATTTATTAAAACATACATAACTTGGAATCTTATGCGATATAAAATTATGTCGACGATCTATGTAAGTGTATTATTGGATATTTTTCCAGTTTAATTATTACTAGCTTGGTTGGTTTCTTTTTATTTATAGCACAGCTACTAATAATGTCTTCCGCTATCCCAGTTTTGAAATTCCAACCAGAGTGAAGTTAACCGGCCGGCAGCACCCACCGCTGTTCCTGTGCTACACTTGTACCAACAGATATTGTGATTAACTATCACATAATAACGCTTTCACGGCTGAAAGGGCAAGCATCTTTGGCATCGGGTATGTTAGTTCAGTATAGATTTAGGTGCTAGCCCATGTTTTGACGTCTTTTAATTTTAAACAAACTCAAATTGTATATAATCGATAAAATATATGCTTTTTTTTTACTGATTTAATCATTCCCCACTGGCAGTGATAAGTCTGCAAGCTCACTACGTTAGAATTTGGGTTTCGATTCCTGCGATTGGCAGAGCACAGGTAACCCGTTGTGTAGCTTTGCGCTTAACGACAACGAAACCAAAACTATCTTTTTTTTGTTTAACTTTACTTAGCGTGTATTCGGTGTTTTAAATGATTTTAAAATGAAAGGGCTGAGGTTTTTGAATATTATTCTTAACATAATTCGCAAGATGATGAAGAAAAGGTCAATCGCACTGGTCACCCATTATTACCTCCGCCACCATTGTGTTTGTCAGCAAGATTTCTCGAAAACGGCTGAATGGATTTGGACAAAAGTTGATATACATTTGGACTATGACTCAAGTGATTAGTTTTTGGAGGGTCAAGGTCACGAAAAAAAAAATCTCTATGTATTAACCCTATTTTTGCTTTGTAACTCAGTCATAGATTATAGGATTTTAACGAAACTTGGTGGACATATGTTGAATATTATTCCTCATTGTTCTGCCAAAAATGGCCCATGTCCGTTGATAGTTGATAACGACGAAGATACTGACACATTTTCGTATTTTTCGAGAGCCGAATATGATCAACGCTGCTTATCAGAGGTATGCGCTCTACTAGGTGTTCTCTAGTTTCAATTCTGCATTTATGAATGTTTGTTACCCTGCTGCCCCTCGTGTGCACACGTCTATTTTTCTGTTTCTGTACATATTGCCCATCAGTTTGCTTTAAAGTTCAACTTACGTGGCTCATAATGTTTTTCTGTTTTGTTTGTTTAATATGTTTGTTAAAGTGGATGATTGTGATCGAATCCTCAACTGTCAATATACTATAATTCATTAGTGATTTTGTACTGAAACTACCACGCACTCAAAATTTTTTCTACGTCAAACATCGCATTAATTAACTCAGGATAACCATCAAATTCCAATGTATGTTAATTATATTTGTTTGTTGAATTTCGCTCAAATCTACTGGAGAGCAATATGCGCTAACCTAATTTAGAAATGATAGACTAGATGGAAGAAAGCTAGACCACACCACCCACCGCCAACTACTGGGCTACTCTTTTTACCAACGAAAAGTGAGATTACCCGTCACATTATAAAGCCTTAACGTCTGAAAAGGCGAAGATGTTCTGAGAAGGGATTCGAACTCGTGACCTACAGATTGCGAGTCGAGCGCTCTGACCACCAGTTCTTAATGCAATACCGTAAGTCTAACTCTTAAAACCAAAGAAATGCATACGACTTACATAAAAAGAGAATCAAGCTAAAAATAACAACGTTTTGATCTGCTAGTTGGTTTAAGAGTATAGCGATTTTATCTCTTAAGACAGGTTCAAATGGAACTAAGGATTATATGTAAAATC